AGGCATTTGCGGTTTGGGAAAAACGAAAGCCGGCACCTTTATCTTTTTTGGGACATGAATGATTAGTTGGACTAACCAACATCAAATCTAAAAGACTGCATGTTTCTATTCTTCCCCACACCAATAAGAAATAGGCTTTCAGAATGAATGGTGTTTCTTGAATAGCATCCTAAATAAAACTGGCACCGTTTTATACACATTTACTTTTCTCTATTTGCATAATCAGATACTCACCATAAAATAATAGTTTAATACCAACTAAAGTGGATTTCTGCTTAATTGAAGTCCCTGAGAAGTTGTTTTGGGAGCCTGTGTGAAGAGACCCACGAGGCAGAGGTAGCCCCATTAGATCATCTGTATCCCGCCATGAGTGGATTATAAAGGCGGCGTAATTTGCACCCCCGTGAGAGTGCAACAGCTTTGGAAAAGAGCAAACAAAAACATTGTTTTGTAATACTTCTGTGCGTGTGCGCGCATGCATACGCACTTTCTTCCTCACCCATGTGCGTCTGTCCTCCGACTGTGAGAGACTCCAGCCAGGAGATAAATGTACGAGATGTTATTGTGGCGCGGCTGGCCCTGCTCCAGAGGAAGTGCTCGGCTTTGACAATGCTCTCACCAGGAATGCACTGCAGGCCGCCGCCAAGGGGGGCGTGTCGCCGCTCCGGGGTCGGAAGCCAAGTTTGGTCGGTTCAGTTTTGGCCTCGGGGGGGGGATCCGTCCTGCTAGGCTTTGGAAAGAGACAGAACGAGAAGGAAAGGAGAGAGAAGGAGGGGAGAGAAGGTCTAGGTTTGTGTGTTCCTTGTGAGCTTACTTTGTAGAGATTTGAATGAGTGTGTGTGTGTTTTCCCTTTGAGGGGAGAATCTGAATGGAATGCAACTGTTCCTTTACACATGTCCGACCTCCCCCCCCCCCAACACAGGGACTGGTTGAAAACAGACACGCCATCCTGACACACATGCACATTCACACACACACACAGAGGTTGTGGAATGGAAGGAAGTATCAAACTACGCCGGCGGAATACTTATGAACTAAGTCTGAGGAGCAAAGCTGCCCATTAAGATTCCAGACATTCACTGCTCAACTTCTGCAACAAGGAAATAATAGAATCACAACAGAATAGAATATTACATGTTCAGGCCTGTACTGTTTTAAAAAAAAAGTATTTAAAACGACCTCTGGGGTCTTCAACTCCCCCGAAAAAAAGTGTAAATTTGTTTGATGGGTTTGATTTGTTTTTTTCCTTTTATGTGCTGCCCCCTTTGTTGAAACTCCTGAGAGCTGAAATAACCCCCCCCCCCCCCCTCCGGGTACAGGGGTAGTATAATGGTTGCATAATGGGAGAAGGCTGTAACAGAAAGCAGTAAAGGGGGCCGGCGCGGTGGAGGCCTCTGTGTGCTGCAGACTGGCAGTGCCTGGTGATAAGGGGCTGCGGCCCGGACGGCCTCTCTGAGGGGAAGTGATGCAAGACAGTAGCTCTTTGTTTGGTGGCATTACTTGGTCCCATGCCAGTGGCCCCGATGAATGAAATGGAGCGGTTGGCTCGTTTGCTGGCTGGCTGACTGGCTTCACGGTGGACAGACTGACTGCCTGGCTGACTTGCTGGTAGGCGGGCAACAGCGGCACAAAAAATCGCGGCTAATCTCCTCCTTTCTCTTCTGCTTTCTGGCTTTTTCCTCTTCGGCTTAAAGGGACACTTAAGCCGTAAACTGGGAGATCATTTCTTCTGTGAAAAATGCTGCAGCAGCACCACGTTGGTTTTTGATAAAGTGCAAACTAGTTGGATGTTTGACAATATATATTTCCATGAAAACTGAGATGCTTGTATTGAATATTTGTGTATGTTTCACTTTTAGCTCAAGCGCATTGAGGGTCTCATTGAGCCAGATCAAGCACCTCAGAATCCCAAACAACCGCTCCTCCTTTGCTCCTTGTACTCCTCCGGCTATCCCAGCAGCTCCTGCTGCTCTCCTCTCCTCTCTGCTCTCCCCGCCACCTCCCAAGCGTTAAAATGTGTGTTTTCCCTGACTGCTCGAGCCGTCCTGTCACACTTAAGTTCATTTTACTTTTGAATTCCACAGAGGAAAACAAGGGTCGGGGGGGGCGCACAGCATATATATATATATATATATATATATATATATATATATATATATATATGCTGTGCGTGTTATATATGCGGTGCGCATCTGTGCTTGTGTGGTGGGAGGCAACATGATTTTGCAATCCGGAGGTCTCAATGTGAGGGGATCCATTTCCATAACAGCGTGCACTTGCAACGTCTGTCCCATATGAGATTGTGCATTCCTCCAGACTTGCGAATCCCTCTGACAGTCACTGATACGCACACACACACACACACACACACATATATATATATATATATATATATATACACACACACAGACATAAGCTACTGCGCACTTGCCATCATCATCCTGCTCGGACATCAGGGTTAACAAATCTCTTTTATGCCGCTTTTCAATTTGCACGTCAGAACACCAGAGGAGCAGTGCCTTGACAGACAGGTAAAAAACGACGCACGCACCCGTGACCACCATGTCCCATTTTTCAGGTCTGGATGGCCGCTCGATTAAACCTTCTGACTCTGATTTTACTTTGCCGAATATCTTGAATTTTACGAACGCGTGACAAATTGCCACACCTTGTAAAACATGAACTTTTGATTTCCTTAAATCCATCTGCATGTCTACATTGTAAACAGAGGAATAGAGAGAAGGGGATGGATGGGGGTGAAGGAGAAAATGAGTGTGCATCTGGGGGGCTGTCGGTCCGAGGGGGGTTAGGTTGAGCACTACGCCAGATGTGAAAATTGCTTTTGCAATATGTCATCTAAACGGCAAACTGCAGGGGATTTACTCGAGTTAACTTGAAGCACTTAAGTGGTGGAAAGTCAAAATTACTGTTAGCTTCTTGAAAGTCTCAAAACGGATTCGGAGAGCAGCTGAGAGGAAATATCATTCATAGCAGGAAACTGGTTAGTGGTCTTTTCCACACGACCTCAGAGCATTGGTCCGACACGTGTCACCCAAACGCAGCGGCAAAGTGGCGCTTTGCCCCTTTAAGTCGCACCTCGGGTCACAGTGATGTACAACTCGGCAGGACAAGTTCTGCCGGTTGTGAAACGCAGCAGATAAGAAGACAAACGTGAGTCGAGTCAGATCATATTTCTCTGAGGTTCCACCCGATCGTCTTGTTGTCCTTCAATGTCGCACCACAACCTCCTGTTTTCTGTTGGGCTTCGTGGATTCATGACCAAAACATGAGGTCTACTGCTGCGCTTCTCATACCACACATGGTGTCTTCAATAAAGCCCATTTAACACTAATAACTGAGGCGTTGTTTCCGATTGGCCATTCATGTGACACTGTCACACTTGGAATTGAGAATGTTTGCATATATAAGAAATGATCAGCACAACAGTAATACTTTGCCCGTAACAACATCTGATGTGTCAGTGTGTGTGTGTGTGTGTGTGTGTGCGCGCTGGGTGTGACGACCTTATTCTTGACATTGTACAATAACACTGCAAACGAAGCGGAGCAGCAACAAGCAGAAGCAGTCCGACGTAGATTCCTGCTCCACATGTACCAAATTAAAAAGAGTAATCATGCAGTTATTTTTTAAACATTCAATAATTTGTTTTTAACTCTTTTGCTGGTGAGGTGGGGGGGGGGGGCTTTTTCCTGTGGTTTACCAAATACTTTTTGTAGTTTTCTGACGCTGGACCGGCTGCTTTCTGGTTCCAGTCTGCCGTAACACCAGCCGATAATAAATGGTTTCTCCTACACCTGCCTGTGCCGGAGCTTCCTGTGTTGATGATATGTATGTGGACCGGTGGGGTGAAGATGACAATGAAAGGTGTGGAGGAAGTCAAATGCAGGTGTTTGTGGGTGTGTGTGTGTGTGTGTGTGTGTGCTCGCTGCTCCAGGTGGGTGCTGACAGACCGGCGGGTAAACAGGCAGGTTGGTCTCTGATCTCTGCTGTTGGAGCAGACAGTGCCGCGCCTGCAGGGCTTCTGCAGCGGAAACGCGTCCTTTTATGTGATGCTGGAAGGCCAAAGCTGCAGCGTCTTCTTCTTCTTCTTCCTTCTACCTTTCTCGCACATTCAGCGTCGTTCGTTTGTTCCACTCTCTTCTCCCAGGTGCACCCGGGTAAACACCCAGGAACCGTATAGTGGGGAAGGGCATGAGGGGAGGAAGAGTGCCTCGGGGTAACAGCAGCACAGGTGGGCTGGGGGATGGGGGGTGATGACAGTGTGTGTGTGTGTGTGTGTGTGTGTATAACAGAAGGATTGTGTGTGCTCCGGCTTCTTAAGGAGGTGCTTTGGAAAGAAAGGAATGTTACACATACAGATTACAACAGACCACCCCTGTAAACTGGAAGGAAGTCAGTTTTACCTGTGAGTCAAGCAAACACACACACACACACACACACACACACACACACACACAAAGACAGCGGCTATAATGTGAAGTGAGCATCTGGCTCATATTACATTGTCCAGAGGAAGTCACTGCATTATTTCCTGTTGCTTATGTAATGTGTTCTTTCAGTTTAAGGTCAAGCTGCTTTATTTGGCCTTCAGTGACCTACCCGTGTTTTATAGGGAGCAATCTATTCCGACAGGAAGCGGGGACCTCAGGAAGTCGAAGTGTTGATGTAAAACAAGTAAAGCCCGTAAATGTTGTCTTGGAAATGATTAATAGCTTAAGTGAATGCACCTCATAATTTAGGTTCATAATCTTACATGCTGTAAGATGTCGGTACAAAGTGCACTTTATATTTGCACGCTTATGCAGGAATTAAGCTTTGAATCAGCATGATTCTTTTAATACTAGAAAGTGTTGATTAATACAATAATCTCAATCTCACCCTCAAGTGATCTGAGTCATTCTGTGTGTGTGTGTGTGCGTGAGAATGTTTGTGTGTTATTTTTGCGAAGGACACTCAGATAAGTAACGACACGACAGCCTTGTATATTTAACAATATATATTTCCATTGTCAATGTACATTCCTTTTCGACATAAGCTTTCTTCACAAACAAAAAAGTTGCCATCTAAATAAATACTATATAAAATAGAACTTCAAAATAAATATCTATAAAGGGAACCTTTTATATGAGAGATTTTTTTTTTCTGTTTGTTATATCTAAACAAAACAAAAGCACGGATCTCGTTCTGAATCCCAAACATTGACATTGCAAAGGCATAAAGGAACAGAGTCTTTCACCCAGCTGTAAGAGACTTCTCCTCTTGTTTGGGTCGAAAAAAAAGAAAACATCTGTGCCCGCAAAGTAAAGGGTGTGTAAAAGCATTGTAGCAGGAAAAAGAAGAGAAGAATACAAATATTGTAATCATTGAGTTGTTGTCGTTGGATGATTATCCCGCACCTTGAAAAGGCCGGTGATCACATAAAAAAAAGTATAAAGCTAACGCGAAGTGAGGAGTGATACTCCCACAGTGACGGGGCTGTCTAATAAAAGGAAAAGAAAGGCATCCACTTATTAAAAAGATGGCACAGAACTATGAAACCCAGAGTAAAGACAAAGACGGAGGGGGGGGTGAGAGGGAGAGGGAGAGAAAGGGAGACAGGCTCGTCTTTCTCTCCCTTCTCCGCGGTATGACACGTTTATGCACAGCAGCTGTGTTTGTCAATCAAGGCCAGGGGTGTTTTGTTGGACTACTTCTCGGAGAGGAAGGAGGGAAGACGAGGGCAGAGAGGAGGGGAGGCGAGGGGAGGGGAGGTGGGAGGGAGGAAAAGAGGGGAGCGAGTGCTGAGACGCTGAGCAGTAACAGCAGGAAACGGGTTGATCCGGAGAGGGGTAGGTTGGGTCTCCAGGACTCGGGAGAGCAACCAGGGAATTAGCTTAGCCTCTCCACTGCTAATGAGCCGTGGATAGCATTAACAGCAGGAGGGGGGTTTTCTTCTTCTTCTTTTTTATTTTATTGCCCGGCATACTTTTCTAAATCAAGTGCTAGTGATAGAAAGACCTGTCGTTTTTTTGTTGTTGTTACCCCTTCCCGAACCTTCCTCTTGCCACCCTCCCTCTTTTTTTCCCCCTCAAAAACATCTTACCCTCAAAATATATATCTAATATATTCTCTATATATTTTGTACTGAATTTTAGTTATAACGTACCATGCAATCTTTCAAGGACATTTTAAAAGTCTCTTCTAAAGAACACAAATGTTGTGAAACTATTTACAGCAAATAACATTTTACCTGCATAGCTCTATTACTAAATATATCGTCAAAACATTTGTGATTTTTACCGCCCACGTACACGCGTTAGGCCTTTGCCCAGTCACACAATCATTCTCAGTTTTGGCACCTTTCTCTCGGACTGAATTGCTAGGTTTGAAAATATTGCCTCATACATTCAAGACTAAGGACAGTGTGTGTGTGTGTGTGTGTGTGTGTGTGTGTTTTCTCCTTTTTTTCCCCCTGTGTGATATCAGCTTTGTGCAACAAGACAAACACAGCTATGAGCAAAGTTAGGCACCCTAATGGAAGTTAAGGGTCCGACGCGAAGGGGAGGTGTGTGTTATGGAGCGACAGAGACAGTCGGCCTTTATGCCCAACAGAAAAGGCCATCTGTATTAAAGGGCAGAATGCCTTTAAGAACCAACTGCCGTCAACTCCATTTGGCGAATGTGCATAACAACTGTGATCACTCAAGACAGCGAAAACAAGCTACTGTATGCTAGCTTCCTCTGGCAAAGTCCTAAGAACATAACGCAAGCCACAAAAATAGACTTTAAGAATAAAATACAGACTATCTGGCTGACGCAGCTCTGCAGCATGATTAGAATTGAATGAAGACACTGTGTGTAGACGGGGAGGTTTGGGGTGTGTGGACTAAATGTCGTGCACGCAAACGTAACGTGAGAGGTGGTGGTTAATACTGTGCTTTAGTACATCCTTTTAAGGGGGTTTGCGTCCTCTGAAAAAGGTTGTGCAGGTGGCAGGTTCGACTTTCGACAAAGGCTGGCTAGATATGAACACGACAACGACTTTGCTATGCCTTCTCTCCCCTCTCTACGCTCTCCCGCACTTGCATCCCCTCTCCCCTTGAAACCTTACTTTCTGGCCAGTTTGTCGCTCGCTTAGCTTACTTGTTTTAAATTATTCACTATTGCCTTTTCACCCCCTAAATGTTCTTTGCTTTCTTGTGCAAAGATTGAAGTAGGACGGGCTCTTCGGCAGTTTAGAAATCAACATGCTGTAGGCCAAGTTCTAGAGAGGATTACTGAAACAGTCCCTGAGAAGGTTGGGTGTACTTTTTTTTACACAATTTCTCTACGACACATCAACTTCTAGCATGGTGGCTAACCATTACACTAGAGCATGCAGTTCATGACATGCATTACCTCTGAGGTGAATGGTGAACAGCATTCAAAAACTTTTAGAATCTCTGGGATTTACCCCCTAAAAACAGGAAACGGACGTTAAAGTTATTATCTCTCTCTCTGTTGCTCTACGACTGCTTATGCACAAGACAGAATAAGAATAATGGAAACATTTTAATATCTTTAAGTCTGACAAAGGCTCGTTTTTTTTTTTTTACAGCTCCTCCGTGGAGATGAATATTTTGAGATACGTTTTAGCGTTACCAAGCTAGCATCTTTAAGCTAAAAGAGGTAAAAGGGCGACACTAACAGATGGTGTTCGTCATAGTAGTGGAGAGAGCGAGTAAGAGGTGGTTTCACTCTGGCACTTCATCGAGCACCAGTACAGGTGAACACTTGTCTGTTCAGACAGACGGACACTGGGCTGTGCTTGTTGGGGGCGGCGGGGAAGCGCACAGATATTTATTTCCATTAAATAACTTTCTCGTTATCTGAGGTTCAGCAACCGGCTTCTGGTTAGTCACCGTTACTAAATTAGTTGAGGAATACGGAGCAGCAGAGAGGTACAACGACTTTGTGCCTTCGGCCATCATTTAGGAAACAAACAAAAAAAAACAGTCCCACGATCTTGTCTCTTCTTCTTCAATAGGCCTCGTCTGATCATCCAACATAGGTCGAGGAGCCATTTAAGTACCTTTGTTTTACATAAGTCACCTTCCAGTAGATTAATGGGGTAGTTTAAGGGGTCGGTGTTGGATTGTCCTATCCATAGAGAACAAGCAAGTACTGAGTGGTCCTGTCCAATTCTTAGCAAGGCCACCGCTAGCCAGTTCTTTTGTCCACTATCATGATCCCTGCTTTTCTAGTGTCCCAACTTTTGCTTCCACGCCTCCGTTTTTACACAGAGGGGCACTCACGGCGCCCTGCAAGTTCTTGCAGCGGCACCCGGGCCTGCTAACGTTGTCGTAACACTTCTGTCCCAGTTTGGCCAGACCCGTAGCTGGTAGATAGCAGACCAGGCAGGGCAGGACGAGTGAAAGGGCAGCCATGAAGGACCAGCGCGCACAACAGTTGGCCTGGGAGCACGAGCACGGCTTGTCGGCGCAGGAGCCCTCGTCGTCTTCATCCTCGGTGCAGTGGTAGAAGATCCCTTTGACCAGGCACATGCAGGTGGCTGTATCCACCAGGCTCTGAGCAGAGCACAGGCACTCCTGGTTGCAGACCCAGCAGGAGGGCAGGGTCCGGGGGAGCGTACACTCCGTGCATCGGCACTTTCCGCATTGCTCGCAGAGAAGGAGGTGCTTCTTCTCGGCCGGGGAGGAAGGTATCAGCGCCAGCCCCTGCTGGCCTCCGGTGGTGCACACGCCTCCCGCAGGCATCTTTGCAGACTTGAGGTCCAGCGATTTAGAGGAGGCGCAGGAGGAAGCAGAGGACGAGGAAGTGAGGACTTTCGATTCGGAGGAAGTAAAGCTGCCTGGAGTTCGGGTGCAAATTGTGTTGACGGGGCCCTGGTGGGGGTGTAGGTTTGGGTGGTGGTCCACCGTCGGGGTGGGGGCGGCGTGGTCCAACAACCTCTGATCAGACGAGGTGCTGCTGCTGCTGCTGATAGAGCTGGGCCTCCCACTGAAAGAAAATCCAAGGGTGGGTGGTGCTGTCCTGGTTGGGGTGGGGCTGGGGCTCGCACCTGCCCTGCTGGTGGTGCTGGTGTTGGTGATTATGATGATGGTTGTTGTTTGCCCCCAGGAAGGCCTCCTGATTCTGACCGAGCCAATTGATTCTCCGGTTCACGGACTTCTGGCTGGAGGGCTGCTGGGACACGACGGCGGGGCTGTCGATGTAGTCGTTCTCCACATGCGAGGACTTTATCTGGTCGATGGGGTAGATGGTAAGAGGGTGCTGCAGGCGACCGTAGGGCACTCGACTGTCCAGCAAGGGCTGAGATATGAGGGAGGAGGACACGCCGGGGATGTGGTGGGGAACCCTGGACTCCATGTGTAGGCTGGTGCCTTGCACGTCTTCACTCTAAAGCAGCATTTAGAAAAGCTGCAAAAAAGACAAGACACAGGAGACCGTTATGACTGGTTGCATCTGCTGTTTCTTCATTTCGAGGATGACGGAGATTGTGATGATTTTCAAACTAAGTTAATCTTACGAAACTGTCCGAAGAACGACACCAATGTTTGCTACGGTTTATCCGGGGAATCATTTCGTGGTGCTTTTGCGTTGCTTCTATCGATGACTAACCACCACTTTGTTATGATTAATCCACTACAACTTCTTTCAATAGGATTGAGAGTTTTTCATCTCACAGTTTTAACACATTCAATGATACTCTACAGCGATAACTCACATTCAAACCAACGTATCAGACAACGTGGTAAACTGTCTGAATCATCCCCCACAGTTTGCTTCACCCGAGACACTTATACAATTTCTAGCCTCTCAACCGAAACTACGGCTGCAATGGAAATGTAAGGTTTGATCTTTAGACAGAACACAAACTGGGTTTCAAACCTCCTCTGTTCTAACTTTGACATTAGAACGACAGGAGTTGGGCTCTCATCGCCGCCCTTCCAAAGAGCAGGGAGCAGCAGAAAGCAGGGCTTGCATGCAAAAGACTCGAAGATGCAAAACAAGGCGAAGCAAAGAGAGGAAGAAGATGCCAGAGACGGGACTTCAACAACACCAAAATGAGGCAAAGAGAACAGCGTTTGTACCGAATCAGACATTAAATAGACAGTAATACAATTGTACCTAATAGCGTGCCTCTGGTCTCAGATCTGGCAATTTGTGAATGGATCTGATTCTGTGAACTGCAGGTTCTTTTTTTTTGTGAATGAAAGCTACTGGCTGCACTCGGTGTTGCAAGTATGAATCAATGCGCTCCAGTCATGATGAGGCTGAATGAAATCGGTTTCATCATTCATCTCATCGACGAACACTCGGCGGCAGCCGGAAAAAAAAAAAACCAAACCTCCTCTACAGAAAAAAACAAAACGATGATTGAAGACAAACGACAAAGCCCGGCTGACATTTCCACTGACCTACATCTGCGGTGTTTGCTTATCTGATTTAAAAAAAAAAAAAGAACCTCATCCAGACCACAAAATGCATTAAGCTTCGGATTATTCTCTCAAGGCAACCTGGATTTTTCCAAGCACCTGAACATTACCGAGCTGTGCCTCGTTTCTGCTGACAGCGGATCTATTTTACGCGTTAAAGCTCGTCTCGCCCCCTCGACTCGTTTTTCTCCTTTTTTTTCCTCGAATTTGCCGAAGCCCGGCTGAGAAAACCTGTTGCAACACCACTGGCACCGACACAAGCGCTTGCGATCGACAAATCTAGAACGGCGTGAGCTCCAAGCCGGAACGTTGCGTGTTCAAGTGCGTGTGTCCGGTGCACGTGCGTTTGCGCGTCCTTTCCCTGCGAGGCGTGAAATGCCTGAGTCATAAATCCGGAGGCGGCCGCTCGATATATTCAAACGGGGGATTTTTTATAGTCTTTGTAACCACTTATTATATCGCACTCAATTTTAATAAATTCAGGGGGGGGGGGGGGGGGGGCGCGAAGCTAGGACATTGATAAAGACAACCCGGGACACTGTGTGCCAGTCGGTTCAGGGGTCATTTTAACCGGCGTCGGTCGCTTGCGTGTGCGCGGACGTTGTCACCCTCGTTGGGACCGAAACACGCGGATTCAAGAGCGATCCGGTTATTTTCTTTGCCGCGTGTAAATAAGACAAACCCGCGGACGGCAAAGGCACCTGACGCAAGCGCCGCGGTGCGGCAGCGAGGCGGACACACGCGACGGGTCCCCCGGGGGCCTTCCGAGCCGCACCCCCTCTTTCGGGGGCCGCGGTGTGGTTTTTTTCCCCCGCTTTTTAATAGTGCCCCCAAACTTTTGGGGGGGGGGGGGGGGGGGGACGCCGAGAACCGCCGCGCTCCGTACGCTGAAAGTACGCATTCACCTTGTGCCATGTAGGAAAGGGGACGTTACGGATAAGTCGTGTTTTTTTATTATTATTATTTTTAAATTAAAACTAAAACGCGACGCGGTTTTCCTCGCTCCGCGGCCCCAGCCGTGCCTTTGGCAGGAAATCGGTGGTTAAACATTTACACGAAGTGCAAACACTGGTCGGCGAAAACAGCTTGTTGCGAGATAGAGTTAAGTAACGAGGAGAGCTTGCGTGCCAGCGAGCCAGTGGATTGAGAGTCGGGCGAGAGGCGAGCGGGGGGGGGGGACGAGGGGCCGAGGGAGTCGGGTGGTGCAGCCCCACGCTGCTGAAAAGTTACAAAACACGAAACGATGACAAAACACCGGAGAGGATCACCTACTTACTCTGGTCTCAGGACAAAATGCTCATCTCTTGGTTGCGCACGACGTTTGCGCACGGTCTATAGTCCAGTCAAAGCGGGTGAGTAGCTCCCCAAAAGCTCCCCAAATGTCGCGCAGAGATAAGTCCCGACGTCTGGATGCGATGCGAGCAGAGTCATGCGAAGGGAGAACTGTTCTCCTGCACTATTCTCCACTCGCTGATGCGTAAAAGGCGACTGCGGTTGTGGACGCAGAGCTTTGGATGTGATGTTGCAACCACCGAGGGGGAGGGAAGTGAGTTTTTTATGAATGGGAGGGCAGAGGAAAGGGAAGGGACGGCACTGCGCAGATGCCCTGGTTTTTTTTTTTTTCTTCTCTCTTTTTTTTGTGAATGGGAGGGCAGAGCAACTCAGGACGGCTGAAATGCGAAGGTTACATTTTTATGAATGGGGAGGACTCCGAATGGGCATTGCGCAGGCGCGATGCCGAGATTTTTTTTATGAATGGGTAGAAATGGCGAATGAGGGGTGTGTGAGAATGGGGTGAGGGACCGAGGGGGGCGGCGGGGGAAATGTCGGGACTGATTTACGTAAAAAATCGTCTCACCGGCTCCGGTGCCCCCCTCGCTTTATTTCAGCCCGTTGATTTATTCATCTATTCGCTCTCGCATCACGCAACATATTAAATGAGTGGTTGTGGTGGTTTTGTGTAATGGAGGGAAGAACGAGATGAGTGGGGGGGGTCTAAATCTGCAATTAGTTCATTTATTTTGCCATCGCTGGCAAGTATAATCTGTACCCTTCTTTCGACGCTGATGCATTGACGCCAAACTGGCTAAAGAAAAAACACAAATATACAGTCGTGACCTACATTTAAGGAAACAAAACATCTTAGCAAAGCCATAAATCTTTAAGGAATGTGACTTTCATGAATAAAGTAGTCCAGCGTGAAGGCTGATTTCTATTTTTAATAAGTCTATTGTTGGCATCAGATCCTTTCAGATTAACACGTCTGGACTCGATCCGGCTAAATAATGGCTGCTTGTTTCCCCCTTCGATCTAAAGCCGTTTATTGCGAACGAGGACGTGCCCTTCCTTCCCCTGCAACAATGTGAGGGATGACTACGGCTTCTATGTAGTGTTAAAAAAAAGAAAAGAAGAGGAGGAGGGGGCGGGGGGGGGGTTATAACGCCTACTTGAAACGCAAACCAGCATGAGGGCAGGCAGGATTGACAAAGGGACAGGATGTTGTTGATTTGTACCGAAACCACACGGAGGAAATGAGTGTGAATTTCCTTTCTCTCTGACATCCCTGAGAGTGTGCGCGTGCGTGTGTGTGCGCGCGCGCTTGTGTGCGTGTGTGTGTGTGTGTGTGTGTGCGTGTCTCTCTCTGCAGCCCCCCCCTGCCACCACTCTTGCTCCCCTCCCCTCCCTCAGCTTGGGGCTTTTAACCAGTCAAAGGTTAACAGTTGCCCCATTATCCTTTTGCACACATCACCATGGTAACCACTACACCTCCAAATTGGGATCATTGTTTTGGACAAAGCTGGTGAAAGAGTTGGGGAGGCAAAGAATTTATTTTGTTGGTATGTGGATTAATCAGCAATACAGGTAGCAATTGTGTGTGTTTTGCTGGCAATAAACCAGTAAAACACACACACACACACACACACACACACACACACACACACAAATAATTGAATCATTTGAATTTGACTACACTTTTTAATAACATTCTTTGTCATGTATCGTTGAAATACCATACAAGGTTTTATCGTGTGACCGTATCATACATGTGGCATTCTATGTTTCCCTTTAACACAATTTCATTTGCCCGTTTTGATGTTAGTTAACTAATAATATGTGAATAAATAGCAAGTAAAACGCAGGCCAGTGAGTGTTGTGTACGTTGATTGTCGAGCCCTTTGAGGCACACCGGTGACTTTTTAGGCTGTTGAGGATGAGTTTGTCATCATATTGCATGTTTATTCTACTCCGTGTCTTGCTAAAACATTGCACCGAAAGTAACTGCACGCCTGTACATAGTTTTACTGGAACACCAACAGTACTGTATCATAAAGCAGTTTTGGGAAGCAACAAGATGACGCACGTCCTGATTTTCTGTCTGCAGGGATCTTTTGAATAAAAAAGGAACCGTACTCTCCACGAAGGTCCAGAGGGACAAAAGGCTGCATTGTGATGCGGAGTAAGAACCGTTAACGCATCTTCTTCTTTTCTCAAGCTTCAAAACAATAAATCAACTCCTTCAAAAGGCGTATCCTGAGGAACGAGATCTGATAGATCAACACAAATCTGTAAATCTCTGTCTCCTTATCCTCGGGTACGGATTACCTCCTTTTCTCTTTCAGGCATTTACTGTAGATGCTTGCAGATTTCCGTGCGCAGCTGTGTGGCTTCCAGGCACGGCCCACATGAAGCGCTTGTTGAATTGTAGATTTCTTGTCGGTGTGATCATCCAGGCATACATGCACGGAAGGGAAGGCCTAGATTTCTCTCCAGAGTCTTCCCTCCCGAGCTTCCTTCCTGCCACATCTGCCGGCTACTGCTGTGAGCTTGAGATTTCTAATGGACAGGCGCATCTGCTTCGATAGCAGTTTGACTATTTTTTTTTTTTTTTACCACTGTGCAAATCTAACAAACCCTTAATTATTTGGAGTTTTATGATCTTGTTTCTACTAAAAATGTCCACTTGGACTGTTCCAGATGATTGTTTCTCCTCCAGACTAAACCACATTTCTCTCTAAATCAAATTACAATGTCGTTAGCCTCCTTGTTTTTAAGTCTATCACTCGATGTTTTTTCACTAATCTGTTGGCGTTTGTACGTCATGGCTTTCCGAAACCCCCCAAAACACAAGATCTTTAGAAAAGCTGGCCATTGTTAAATGCGTGTGTGTGTGTCTGTCAGTGTGAGTGCTTAAATGCAATTCACAAAGATGTCTCTGAGCTCACAGCTTACATCAAAAGCTTCCTGTAGCAGGTAAGCCGTCATTCACCCCCCCCCCCCCCCCCCCCCCCCCCCCCCCCCGCCTGACACATCTCAATACGCATGTCTTATCAAGTAACAGATGCTTGGTGCTGGAGCTGCTGTCGACGTCCTGAGGACTTTCAATGCCTTCAAAGTGCGTTTCACACCAGGGCACCAAGTCGCCACAACTTCCAGGATGATATGAAATAAGAAAGAAAAGTGATGATTACACAAAAAGAGCATCTTAGAGGAGGAGCGGTTATATTTCATTTAATAGAAATACACAAAAGGTAAAAAGTACATCATTACACAGTTTTGGATAATGTTTCTGGGACAGATGTGGAGCAGAGTCCTTTATCAATACCCACCTTTTTTTCAAAGTTCACAGATAAAACAGTGTTTTTTCACATTTCCTCACCAAAAGTATCTGACACAAAAAAATGAACCCGTCTAAGATAAATGCACGAGTTGAAAACAAACAAATTATCATTAAACACGATATGAAGAGCGTTGACGTTATTGCAAAGACGTGTTGCTGGGATCTCTATTGTAATGGGATTGTAGCTCAGGAAGGACGAGGAGTCCTGAAGCATCCAGTCGGGCTTCAGTCCAACATGAGAGGACTTGCCCGGATGAAGCTAGTTGGTCGCTTTTATTTTGACTTTTTTTTGTTGTTGAATAATTACTGCAAACATCAATTATAAGGACCCAGTAGGAAATGTGGAGCTGTATTTCTTTAGCATTTAGCGAGTCATTCAAATATTCACCTTTAACAGATACTAGTTGAAATAGTTAAAATATTTAGTTTAACAGTAACTAACCACAGCTGAAATAGTTTGCTATTATTGGATATGTGGTTGAAAATGTTACGGGAAAGAAGTTGAAATAGGAAGCTCAAATGTAATGAATGAACACCAAGCTATAAGAGGGATAAATAAAAGCCCGGCATCAAGAGGCAGGATATCGCTGCAAATGAAATTTGACGAAAGCAGTCAAAAACCAAAAGCCTATAAATGAACTTACACACAAACATCATCAACGTTCATCATCTTAGATGTAATTCAAAGTGTAATTTCTGATAAAAGGTTAGGGGACATATCTGGAACACG